TTAACCGTTACAAGTAGTTTTACTCAAAAGTTCATGAAAAGCACTATAACCATAGTTTTTCCAGGTTTTTCAAGCTAATAGTTTACCTTTTAGAGGGGAGGGGGATGCCCTAATCGAAGAAAAATTAGCGCTTTAAAGTTCGATCCTTCGCAAACGGACTCCTAAATCCAAACAAAATAGTCTTAGGAATTAATTAATTTTAAAGGACCTATTCGTCGATATCACACATGATGGGGTTGATTATGAAAAAAAAATCATCCCCAGGGTACCTATATGTACCCTGGGTACATATAGCGGACCTATCTTAACAAAATATATTTTTCAACATTTTATTATACCATTTCCTCGGCGTGATCGGTAAGCATTTCTTCAGAAAATTACAACTCTTTAATGCTATGCTTATAGTCTCCAAGCAAAACCGGAGACGGACAGACATGACGAAACTTTAAGGGTTCCTTGTCAGGACGACGGAACCCTAAAAAGGAACCTACATAACAAATTAAATCATTAGGGCAAAGGCATTCAGTCAAAAATTGTTGCTGTATACTTTGTTTGTTAAACACGCTCACGCATAATCTATGCACACAGTCTGTACCTTGGTAGCTAGTTATTATTCTAAGATCGGCACCTACCATAAATAAAACCTACGATTTGGCTAACCACATTATTTGACATTATGACACAAAACATTTTTGATCTCCCGGGGCTATTGTAACCAGGGGGCGAATGCAGCTGTTTCAAATAACTCGTTTCTGTTTTGTGTTATTGGCAAAATCTATTTATATTGTAGGCAGTGGCGTAGCATGAGGGGGGGGGCGGGGGGTGCGGTCCGCACCGGGCGGCACTTTGCCGGGGGCGGCGCTGCGGAGGTGGCAGATAGAGAAAAAAAAAATAAAAAAAAAGTGATATTGTGATAGTCTACCTTCTACTCTATGTCAAAAAATGATAATTTCACTCTTAGGTTAGTGTTATTCAATAAAAGTACTCTTTTTACCATGCCTCAATTTTTTTATAATGGATTGCAAAAATAAGAGGGCGGCAAATTTGGAATCCGCACCGGCTGCTAGTGACCTATGCTACGCCACTGATTGTAGGTCAATAAAAGTAACTCTACAGAGCTACAGGTGCAACTTATTTTAAAAACAAAACCAACCAACAAAACATTCACCCCCTGGCAATAGCTTCAGGTGACCATACATGGCATTATTTATTAATGTCCATAATAACGCAATGAACAAAAAAAAATGGTTGCCTGTAAAGTCGGTTTTACGGGCGAAGATTTTACGTGACAACGTCTTTTTCTCGGTAGAATATTTATTGATATGAATATAATTAAATTGCACAATAGGAACAAGGAATTGAATGAAAATAAGAATTGCACAAATTTTAACTATAGAAATATATTTTGTTTACTAAAACATTGTACATGTAAACTTAAACTTAACACGAGAGACTCATCGTAACGTTACCGAGCGTTACACTTTTTCATAAGTGACTCCCAGCCGCAACCTAATTTAAGACGTTGTCACGTCAACAAGGAATTTATATAAAAAAAAAGACCTCTCCACCGAAACCCTAATCCAAGAGGTTTACCTCTATTGGAAGTACCCAAATACCAGATATCCTAAAAAGGTGAATGTTGGCTTCGGAACCCTAAAAATATTTTCGTTATTGTCCGCCATCTACTGGCGAATAGTTAAACTATTACTGAAAAGTTGAGCCATCTAGCGGTGATAAGCAAAACAATAAAGTAATATATATAATAGACAATTAGGTCTCTAAAAATACTGTAGCCACAGAGTATGTATATACCTTGTTTTATCTCTATTCAACGCCTTTTCGTGTTTTTTTCGAAATATTTATTAAAAGTGCATACCAAAGTCTGATAAAATACAACAATATAATAATCATCAGGGATAATCAAAAATCTTGACAATAGTGGAAAATAACACATTCAATAGCTAAAATTAAAAAGTATATGATTGTCTATGGAATCACAGAACGGAATCTTGTAAAAGATTAGGCCATTTCATAAAACAAATGTATAGTAACTCGCAGAAAATATCTTCGGGACAGTTGTATTTATTTCAGCTTTGCATTTTATTTTAAATTGAATCGTGAGCTGCATTGTAGGTCTACTCGAAGGGATTGATCTTCAACTCTCGCGGAAGGGTTAGCAGTCTCGATTCTGCAATAGAAAAGATTTGCATTAGAGGAGACGTAAGGTAAACATCGATTTTAATTTTTTCTCCTAGAAAGTGATCCCTCGTTAAAATTAAACCGAAGAAGATTTTATCCGTAGGTGGTGGTGTGTTGAGTGTTTATAGTGTATTTTTAGTGTATCCTTGTACGAAATGAAAGTTTGACTTTTGCCACATATTCTTTTGAATGGCAGCTGACGGACGTAGGTACATCTAGCTACGAGAGTATGTACATAATGTGCAACGTAAACTATTTCCTATGAGTTTATTGATATTATTTTAGTTGTACCGACATTGATGGTGCAAATAAGATAACTACAACACACCCATTGGAGTGCTAGAAGAAATTGTTTTTTCCCACTGCAAAATGTCAAACTGTGAACTTGTCAAAAGCTGGGTTGAGTCATTGTTGCTAACAATCTATAGCATAACTGCTAAATACAATAATATTTCTGTGTACCTGTTTATGTGACTGAAATAGTTCAGAACCATTATCCTATTGCATGAATGTTATGCAGATTACTGATTGCAACAAGATAAATAAATTCATGTAAAGTGAATGTTTTTATGACAAAGACCCCAACTACTTTGTTTTTGGATGAATAATAAAATCTAAATCTTAATTAATGGAGAATTCTATACATAAATTAATGTGAAAATAATTGAATACTTTTTTATCAGTGTAGTGTAACAGGTTCATATTCTGGTATGTAACATTCATATTTTATAGATTTATTGAAGATGTTTTCATAAATAATAAAGAGGTATTTAAAATCTTTTGGATTAAATGACTTAATCTAAACAAAAAGTGTCATTCTGTATCTTTTAAGAATGAAACTAGTTGTTATTGTTTAAGTGTGTGATAAAATAATATTATTATTAGATACTTTCTCTGCCACAAAATAAATTAGGTTGTAATGATATCAAAGTGTGCACTGTAAACAGACATTATAAATTTGTGGGTATTTCTAAAACAAATGCCTGCATTAAGATTTCAATATTATTAAATAATAAGTAGGTGTCAGATGTAGCAATATATAAGATAGGTCTACTTATTCTTTTATATTATTCTAAAGATATTAAATTGGAAATGATAAGTGATTCTGCTCCGATTCCAAAGTGAAACTTTCTGGTACAATGTTGGGAAATGATAAAAGTGCATTCATGTTTTATTTTATTACTATTGTTTTTTTCTACTGTTTAATTAAAATAGAATTCAAGATGACTAACTTCTAATACTTTTATGTTATGTTTTAGTAGTTTATTCTGTATCTTTGTTTTATTTATAAAGATTTACTTACATTTTTTTGCACAACATGCTTTTAGATGCAAAAGCAAGCAAATTCATTAAATCTTTTAATACTTTTAAGTTGTATATAATTGATGAAATTTAAGTACTAATTACCTGTACAGTTTTTAGAAATCCATTGGAGATATAATATTTTTTGTGCTGAGAAGCAGCACATGTTTTAAGGATCTAGTTTACAGCTGCCATTTAAAACACTACCCCTACTTTGACTATCTAAAAATGAAGAGCATTCACTGATTGATGATTGATATCATCAATTGGTGATTATTAAAAGAAATTGCTGCATTTATGATTAAATAACAATAATGAATGCAGCATTTTGTTTTAATAGTGTATTAACATTAATCTGGTGTTTATATTAAAAAGTAAAGATAACAAAACATGCTTACATATGATTACAAATTACAATATAAACGTCATAGGTACATGTATCTTTACTTATCACTGTTCAATTCAGTAGTTGCAAATTTTATCTGTAGCATATCAAACTTTTATCATCTTTTATAATTTTCTAATAATCCTTTTTACAAAATAAACAGTTGTGTTTTGACTGAAAGCTATCAAACACTGCCTTTCTAAGTTGCATAATTCCCATCGCCAACTTGTTATCAAATAACATTCACTTATCTGTGTGTGGTACTGGTGCATCTTTGACCATCACATTGTAGTTATATAATATGGTTTTGGTTGTGAAACTACAAATAAACATAATTATCCAATTTAGTGGCTTCTTAAACAGTATAAAATTAATCATGGAGGATGTAAAAAATCAATTTAAATTTTTATAGGGCTTTATTAAAAAAAATAGGATCACATTAATGTAAGATTTTCTTAGTACTTATTATACTGCTTATCAGTAAAAAAAACATTAGTTAAGTACATCAATTTAATAAATAAACCCCTAATAGTTAATATAAAAGAACATTATTTCAGTAATGACTAATAATATGGATTGACATAAATGTGATGTCATATTTATGCTTTTTTTTATTTAAGTATGTTGTATCTTATGCCTAAAGCCAAAAGTTAAGGAAAACTTATAATATTATTGCTATTTAGACAATTTTAGTACTAACAGTTTTTTTTTATTAAATATTAAAATCTGATTAATAAATTGGTTTCATATTAACTAGAAATTGATATTGCAACCAAAGCAATATTTGTACCAATTTTTCTTTTCTTTTAAAGGTATACTCAATTTTGATTGATATCCTTATAAGTTTGAAAGTTAGTACAACATTTTTCCCCCTTACCCCCCATTATATTCAAGACAAGTTTTACTTTATCCATGTTGTTATTGATAGAAAGTAGGGTGCAGTCTTTAAGAAAAATAATATAGTTTATTTAAAAAAGTGGTGGAGCAAAGTGGACTGAAACAATGATTCATCATATTGATTTGTGTATTTTGTTTGCCTACAGGTCACATAGGGTGTCTGAGTGTAGAAGCCCAAGTTACTCAAGCCGTTGACCCATTGACTCTTAGGTCTAGGATGTCAGTGCTGAACCAGAGTGGAGAAGAGCAGGTCACCACTGTACTTTGACTTCCATTATTTTTATTATCATAAGTAGTAATTAAGTTTATTATAATCCTAAGATTTTTTACTAGAAAATAGTTATTAGTTAGTTGGGTGCTTTTGAGGGTTTCATATCCAAAGGGTAAACAGAAACATATTGCTGTCTAGATCGTAACCAGAATGAGATAAAGAGCTGAACATTTTGCATTTTTTATGTAAACTTGTTGGACAAAGCCATATATTTTGTTAAAATTAAATTTTTTTTTTTTTCATAGGGGGCTTCATACATGAAAATGAGACGATTACTTTCTGTTTATTTACATTCATTATGGTATATTATGTCTCATATGCTGTATTTAAACAACAAATAATGACAACGCTGATTCATAAATATGTACTTAAAGTTGTGACAAACACAAAGAAATGATTTATTTCTTTCGCGATTTGTTGCGATCTCCCATACAACAGACGTGTTTTTTTGCCGTTAAAAACGAAAACTCGATATTACAATATAGTGTCTAATGTTGTATAGATAATCGATACGGAACCCGCGTGCGCCAGCCGGGTCGCACTTGACCGGTTTTTTCTAGTAAAACTTCCACTTAGGTTTATAAAATTTAGCTTATATTAAAAATCTTTGATAAAACATTATACATAAATGTTTTTTAAAAAGCATTGCTTGCTGGATTTTTTTGGACGTCCAAAGAATTTATCAATATAATGACACTTTTTAAAGTAAGGACACATATGAGCATGTATTTGCTAGATTTTTTTATTTAAAGAATTGTAATAAAATAACATGTAAGAGACATTAGGCATAGCGGATTTTCCGCTCGATTTGGAGCACCTGTCTGGGGAAGATTCCTCCACCTTACAGAAGATCACAGTTAATTATCACTACCTTCTGGTGGTTTTGCATTTCTGTCGGTGAGTCAGGTTTTGGAGTTCCACAGGGTAGGAAATTGGGTCAGGGTAGGCAATGGTGCGAGTGAAATTTTATGCGTCTATAAGCCTATAGACGCTTGTGATGTCTGCTGCCTATCACATCACACATCACCAGCCTATTAATGTCCCCACTGCTGGGGCACAGGCCTTCCTTATGGATGGAATAGGGAGATTACGCCATGACCCACCACGCAGGCTCAGTGCGGATTTGTAGTTGCTAACGACTGCAGACGTGCCTTCCGAAGCACGGAGTAGTACGAGATAGTAAATTTTGGTCACCCATCCAATAACCGACCACTGCGAAAGTTACTTAACTTCAACGTTCGCAGCCGAACGCGCTAACCACTTACGCCGCTTATCATCAGGCGGGTAATATGCTTGTAGCCACCCTTTGAACATACAATAACATTGCTATCTCTATTTTGTGGTGAACCAGAATAGCACAGCAGAACACATACAGCACTGTTTCTAGTTTTGCCTTGTCCCTCCGATAGGGTCTTGGTAGCGTATTGGTCAGTGCACTTGCCCGGAAAGCGATAGACGCTGGTTCGAATCCAGTTCGAAGCCTAAGGACGAATTTAACTTTTCCTAATGAAATAATACTTGCTAAAAGTATCTTATTAGATATTTTAATTACCTATATTGTGAGCATTACGTCTTTTGAAATGCTTAAGACCAATGAATTATATAATAATTATATATATTTTCTAGTAAAAATGATTTTTAATGTTAGTGAAAATGCTTGATGGTATACGGCCACCATAGCTTATATACTTACAAAACCATACAGTATCACTCAAGCTTGGCTCTCTGATGGTTGAAATTTTCATTAAAATCAAAACAAATATTGATTAAAATCTAAATCAGCTAATTGAAGGGGAACAAATTTTGTTTACTCTCATACTTATCCCACACCTGCGTGACGCAGCTTTGGTACTAAAATGCGCTAAATTTAGCGTTCGAACTTTTGAATTAAGTAAACTACTAGCTGCTCATATAAATGGAATGCTCTGCCTGCTCACGTGTTCCCTCCTTACAACCTCTTAAAAGAGGTGAAGAAGCAACATGCAGGCCGGCAAGGTGAGGATGGTTGGTGTGGCAGGTAGAACTGCTGTACCAGCTATCTTTTCCCGTCTGGACTTCACCAACACTTAACATCAGGTGGGGTGGAGTCATTTGTCAGACATACTTATAAAAAAAAATATCGTCTCCACAATCTCTTTTAAGTGTGTATTACCGCTAGTCAAACTATCGTCTAGCGTCTACAGACACGCAGCCTGATAATTCATTACGACAGAACTGCGTACCAAATATGGGAGAAACATTATGAAAGGATTGTAGCGGAAAATATAAATAAAATGGTCTTTGTGAATTGAGTATTTCATTTGTAATTTTCCTTTTGTAATCTAGCACAACGAATCCGATTGCGACCTCATTTGTTACAGGTGGAATGTCCGCTGTGTATGGAACCCTTGGAGGTGGACGATCTCCATTTCTACCCGTGCACATGTGGATACCAAGTGAGCATTATTACCCACATATTTAAATATAAAGATAAGCATCTGTTCCTCTAGCATGAGTACCGTAATCACATCACAGTAGTATTATAAAGGCGAAAGTTTGTGAGGGTGTATGTTTGTTACTTTTTCACGTCTCAACGGCTGGAGCGATTTTAATAAAATTTGGTATGGAGTTAGCTGACACCCTGGATTAACACATAAGCTACGTTTTACTGCGGGAAAATATCCCTAATAATCCGCGGGTAACACCGCGGGGCACAGCTAGTATTATATGTAGCTCGTTTTTATCACGCTGTATTGTCAAATTTCTATAGAGTTTAACGAGATAAAAAATGTGTTATAATGTGTATCGTGGTGCTCATGCTACAGAGACTTGAACTGTTAAAAAAAATGTTGTTTGACACTGTCAAACGTGAATAAAATGTAAAAGTACAAAGGTGTATAAAAGGTGTATATAATGTGAATAAAATGATGTTGGATCTTGTTACCTAACACATTGTTTATTCACATTGTTACCGAACAAGATCCAACATCATTACCTTTTGTACGTAATTATTTAAGTATTTTTTTATGTATTTTTATTTCGTGTACAATAAATTATTAAATAAATAAATAATTCGTATTATATAAGCTGTAAAACAAAATGGAAACATCAGAGTATTTATTAAGGTCCACTTGCAACAATTTTGCTAAATCTCAGTTTAATTAAAACTAGATTTATATCATACATGTCTAATTAACATTGACGTTTTTACATTTTTCTATGGGTAAAATCCAGTTTGAACCGAATCGAGGTTTAACAACTTGCTGAAAGTAAACCTTAAACAAAATACTATGTATTTAACTAATTCAAATAGGGCTGAATAAGTAAGTTTCAATATGGCTAACTGCTACTTTAAGACGTTTTTTTTATTTAAAATCAACTTGTAACACTATAAACAAAAAAAACTATTTTAGACTATCAACAATAATATTTTGGGCTAGTTATGCTAATATTTTGTATACTTGACTCAAATATTTGTAATTCAATAAAACGGGACAAAGCATTGCTGTACTATTACAAGCTTGCTTTCTTTGTTTATTATTACAGAAAAAGTTTCATGCTATAGAGAGGATAAATACAATTGTTGTTTCGATAACATCATCAATTATTACCAATTGTTGCACAAGTTGCTGAAGGTTGTGAAACTGTTTTGCTTAACATGAGGTAAACAAATCTCACATTCAAGTTGATTCGATTATTATTTATACAGCTTTTTTTTTGTGATCTAAAGCGCAATAACTGTTAATGATATTTGACATTTAAATACCTTTCTTTTTAAAGTTCTGAATAATAATGTAACATGTAATTTGTTATCCTGTAAATTAGCACCTGTTGGTTTTATAAGACTGTTATTATTCAAATAAAAAGTCGTTATACACGTCTAGAGGAACACGTGTTTTGCATTATAAATTACGTAACTTCTTCAGATCCCCCAGGAATTTAATAATACCTCAGTTTGAAAGTAGTAAGCCTTCGTGACACAGGGAGAGTTTACAATCTGCTAGCGAACTCGCTGGCTTGTAGCTTGTAAACTTGCCTTGTGCCATCGAGGCTTTATTTACTACTTAACTTCTTTCTATAAGGCCTACTTGCACCAAAGTTTTGAAATGTAATCAACTTTAAACCTCATTCTATCTCAATTTGACTTGAAACAATTGACAAGGGTATATAAATGTTTCAAACGGATTAAACCTTTTTTATTCAAGAACATTGATGCCAGTTTCCCGTCATAGAATATGTTTTCCAGATATGTCGTTTCTGCTGGAACCGCATACGGGAGGGCGAGAACGGCCTGTGTCCTGCGTGTCGGAAGGCTTACCCCGAAAATCCGGCAGACTTCACTCCGCTCAGTCAAGAGCAGGTATAGTTAATTATAAATTAAAAAAAATATATATTTTAACTTCCATAATTATATATTCATAGGAAAATAGGCTATTTGGCAAGTTTTTGAAAATGTTCATACGTTATTTATTAATGTATAGTGACTCCATTTAATAATGTTATAAATAATTTTATTGCATATATCAGTAATAAAATGTAAATAAAAATTTTGTTATCAAATATGCCGCGGAAAATTTTCTCTAGCAAATTTGGCATGTTTACAAGCAGGTGCCGTCACACGGCTCTCATTAAAACGTCAAACAGTACAAAGTAATGTAACTTCAAAGGATGTTCACAATCGGGTGGCGTCGTTTTAGGCTCCGTCAATCTGAGGCATTCTTAGTCACATGACAATAGATTAAAAATACTTTTTTACTTCATGATTTTTAGTAATATTATCAACTACCTTTTTTGACAGAATTGTGAAATCGTTCCGAGTATTCATGTTAAATAATCAAATCAGAAATCAGAAATCAATATATCTTTATTCAAATTGGATGTATAGTACAACACTTTTGAATCGTCCAAACATTTTTTTTCCCTACCACTCGTTATTGGACATATTTTTTAGCTGCGGAGAAAAACGAGCGAAAAAAACTCCACAACATTAAAAGCATAATGTAACAACATTTACAAATCATTATGTTGTTACAACGTCAATACAATCATGATTTATTTAATATAGAAAACCTGTTGGAATGATTGGAACAGTTCAAACCCAAGCATTTTTGTCTGTAATATAATCAGACACTTTGTAATAAGCTTTTTTAATAAGTGCTTTTTTTATACTATCTTTGAATTTATTTATGCTTAACTCTTGGATATTGCTTGGGACTTTATTGTATAAGCGAACACAAAGACCTTTAAATGAATTATTGATTTTGTGAAGCCTAGTAGTAGGTAAAGTTAGTTTATTTTTGTTTCTTGTATTAAGTGTGTGAACATCACTGTTTTTAAGAAACAAATTAATATTTTTTCTTACAAGTAATAAATTTTCGTAAATGTATTGTGATGCGACCGTCATTATACCAAATTCTTTAAACCTATCTCTTAAGGAATCCTTAACTTTAAGATTATAAATTGATCGAATAGCTCTCTTCTGCAGCACAAAAATAGTTTGAATGTCGGCGGCGTTTCCCCACAATAAAATTCCGTACGACATTACACTATGGAAATAACTAAAGTATACTAATCTGGCCGTATCTACATCCGTTAACTGGCGTATCTTCATTACGGCATATGCTGCAGAACTAAGTCTATTTGACAATTTATCAATATGTGGGCCCCATTGAAGCTTAGAATCTAAAGTAATCCCTAAGAATACTGTGGTGTCTACAAGGCCCATATTCCTATCCTTTACATTCACACTGGTTTTTACCTGTTTTACATTAGGTAATACAAATTTAATACATTTCGTTTTTCCTTCATTTAGTAATAAATTATTAACATTAAACCAGTGGACTACCTTAGAGATATAACTGTTCACGTCGTCAATAACTGTTTCCTTACGTTTGAGTTTAAATAAAAGTGATGTATCATCTGCGAACAATACTATCTCATGCTTATCTCTAACGTAGTAAGGTAAGTCATTAATATAAATTAAAAATAAGAAAGGACCAAGGATTGAGCCCTGCGGAACACCCATTTTAACCGGCGAACCCGCAGACTTATTGCCGTTAATGTCAACCCTCTGAATCCTATCCATCAGGTATGACGCAATAAGTTCCAGATCAGTATCTCTAAATCCATAGTGGTGGAGTTTCCTGAGTAATGTTTCATGAAAAACGCAATCAAAAGCCTTGGACAAGTCGCAAAATACACCTAGAGCGTCCTGCGAGTTCTCCCAGGCGTCAAAAATTTGTTGTATAAGTTCAACACCGGCATCGGTTGTTGAACGACCCCGTGTAAAACCAAATTGTTTACAGTGAAGTATATTATATTTATTAAAATGTGATTGCATTTGATCTAACATGATTTTTTCGAAAATTTTACTAAAGGTGGGTAGCACAGAAATTGGTCTAAAGTTTGTGGGGTCTGATGTACTTCCCGTTTTATGCAAAGGAGTTATTTTACTGTATTTCATGAGGTCAGGAAAAACACCACAGTCAACACAATCATTAAATATGCAAGCTAAAATAGGAGCTATTGTCTCAATTACCGATTTAGAAACATCAACGGAATTGCCCCACAGATCCGTGGTTTTCTTTTTATTTAATTGGTGAAACGTTTTAATTACATCTTTGAAGTCAACATGTTTAAAATGAAAATGACTAGTACAAGGTTTCACGTTTTCTCTTAAGATTGATTCGGCAGCAATGGGGGAAGAGTTCAAAGATTTAGTAGTTGAAACTGGAATATCAGTAAAGAAATTTTCGAAAGCTGTAGCAACTTCAATATCTGCAGTAACCCTTTTATTATCAATATTTAAGTTATAATTATTATTGCGAGTTTTGGATTTTCCAGTTTCATCGTTTATAACATTCCATGTCGTTTTAATTTTGTCATTACTGTTCTTAATCTTTGAACTTAAGTAATTTGACTTTGCTAAGCGGCATACTTTTTTAAACAATTTAGAATAGTTACGAACATGCTCTTTAAATTTTTCACTAGTGTTACAGTTTCTTTCATTATAAAGTTCATAAAGTGTCCTTCTACTTTTATGAATTCCAGGCGTAGCCCACTTAGTAAAAGTTACCGCATCATTAACACAGATTTTTTTGGGTACAAAAACATTATTAAATTCAGTGCAGTATATATTAAAAAAATCATTATATAAATCATTTGGACTGTCTTTATATTTTAGATAACACATTTTTCTATCTAATTGAGTTTTAAAACGTTCCACACGATTAGCAGATTTTGGTACAACAGTGATGTGTTTTTTTGTCACCTGCTTGAGCTGATATGGAAATGTAATCAACTGGCCACAATGATCACTATCTAGTTTATTAATAATTTGTTTTTTCTGTGGTATGATATCTGTATATATATTATCAATACAAGTGGCCGAAGTGGCAGCTATTCTAGTAGGCTCAATGAATAAGTTTTTCAGATTGTATGATTGAAATAAATTTTTTATTTTAGTACTCGAACTAGATTTTTGTAATAAATCAATATTGAAGTCACCACAGACAATCAACCGTTTGCCTGTAGTGTAAGTTTTCTTAAGAGCTTCATCCATGATAGCTTCAAAACAATCATACAATGCTGATGGAGGTCTGTATACGCTCAATACAACAAGCCGGTCCAGTTCCACACAGGCAATTTCTATTGTTTGCTCAACCGAGAGGCTCACAATATCTCTTCGTTCCTTAAATTTTAATTTTTTATTCAATAATATTAAAGAGCCACCGCGAATTGCATTTTCTCGATTGAACAAACTACCAACCTGATGATTATTGAAATTAAATATATTCTGACAACTTTTAAGCCAGTGTTCTGTAATACAAAAAATATCTATATTATTACAATTCATGAATAATTCAATTTCTAAGTCCTTACCCATCATTCCTTGAATATTAAGATGCACCAGGTTGATAAAACTTACATTTTTTGCAATGTTTTTGGATGGGTTTTTTTTATCTATATTAATAAAACAATTATTTTTATTTACATTATTATTTAATGTGCAAGAAGAATTATCTTTTGTCTGATTGGTTAATTTAAATATTTATTATGATTTTGTGTGGTTTCAGTAGAATAATTACTGATTGTCATGTCAATAGAATATTGCTCAATAGGAGCAAGTTGTTTAGCCAAATTCTTGGCTGACATAAAAAAGAAATATGATAGCGACTTAGCTACCTGTCTTTTATTATAATTGGAAAGATAATATTTATCTTTCGTCAAATAAAAATTTCTAACATAATTGTTAGAGTCAATCAAATGATATTTATTGCTTTTACAAATTGTATACAAAAGCATATTTAATTTGTATCTTAACAAATTTTCCTCCTTTGGCAGACTGTTGCAGTAAGGCAATGTGAACAATACAATTTTTTTCACATTTAATGCATTTAAATCTGTCACATATTTTATTAATAACTTTTTATTCAAATTGCCTCTATTTCCTATAAAAAACAACAAGGTGTGGCATTTACTGTAGCTATGCTTACTTGCCTTTTCTAAAATATCATTATAAGAGGTACCAGGCATACAGTAATTTGTTATTGAATGTCCCATTTTAGATAAAAGAGGGCCCATATTCTTCCCAATTTCATCACTAAACATTATAATATTGTTATTTTTATTACCTAAAGATGCATTTCTTGAGTGAGTTACTTTCACTGGCGTCAAGTATGTACCAATTGGCTGATGTTGGGAATCAACAGATCTAGACTTTTGTTGTAAAGTGGAGGAGTCACAATTGAGCGATGATTGAGTTCCCAACTGTTTACAGTCACAAGTGTGATTGTTAGTTAACGAATTAAATCTTTCATTATTGTAATTACATAAATCAATTAACTCATTCATGGCCTGCATGTGTTCCTTCATTTCACATTGTGCTAATTCATATTTTTTGGTTACACTTGAGAGACAACCTTGCAGTTTATCTATTTTACTTTGTAAAATTTGAGTATCTGTTTCATATTTTAAACAAATGTTATTATATTTTGCAGAATAAATGTCCAATTTATCAATTAACTGTAATCTCTCCCTGTTTAATTTAACATTTTTTATAAAGAATTTTTGTTTTTTAATTAACTTTTGAGTTTTTTTAATATATCTATTAATTTTTACATATTTCTTTAATTTGTTTCTATTACATCCAACAACCCCCAATTTGTTATTTCTACTGTCATTACATGTAAGATCTATTGTTACAATTGGTTGGTTATTGGTTGCAGCAGAAACCATCTCTGGAGCACTGACTACCAACTCATCAAATAAGCTCTGATTCAACGAGGCAGTTATATTGTGTTTTGACGTTTCTAAAAGTGATATTGTATTATTTGCTTCATGTAGTTGTTTTTCCAGCATGTGAATACGCTGCAATGCTTGATCATACTCACTTCTACATTGATCAAAGCCATCTACGATGAATTGGAGTCTGTCACGAGCGTCAATAGCATCAATGCACTGTTTGTGAAGTTCTGCCATTTCGCTCTTTAACTTTTGATTTTTATCTAAAATATCTATTAATTCCCTCTCATTGTCATCGCGTTCCTTGTTTAGTTGGTTACATAAATCCTTAGAAGCTTTGAGTTCTCTCAAAGTCAGTTGAAATTTAGACTCCTCTTGACGAGACAAAGCCTTACGAGTCATCATTTTTATATAAGATTAATATTATCTTAGTTGAAATTTAATTAATGTATGTATTTAAATACAACAAGACTTATTTAACCAACAATAGCAAAGATATGTAGGTATTTTATAAAAAAAATATTACCAAAGTTTTTGACTATTTTATGCTTTACACACTTTACTAATATAGAATAAAGTAATAGTCAAGGTATATTAGAATCTAACTTGTAAAAATAACTTACTGAAATTAAGAAAATATCTTGAAAACAGATGACAATGATTCACAATAAAGCCGGTAACTGTCACAGGTTATTTTTACGTAATTTCACTCACTTTACAATCGTTTTATATATTAGCACTTAGTATTTAACTATTATTTAATGATATTATTGGTTTTAGAGCACAATTTCTTTAGATTTATAATTTTTAATGAATAAAATTAAAGGGACAGTTCAAAATCAGCTGTTTAGCCAGTGTTGCCAGAGGAGGGACATGTTGTTACTTTCAGTTACTAATCAGACTGACAGACTGAACTCCATTTACACTTAACATCAGGTGAGCTGGGGTAACTTGTTGCGTCACGAATAAAAAAATTATCTTACATATTATTAAGTGAAATGTTGTATTAACATGTATTTTGGTTTCGTTTCGCTATCAGGTAGCAGCAATAAAGACGGAGAAAAAGGCTCGCGAGCAGAAGCGGCGGAACAAGACGCTGGAGTCGCGGCGAGCGCTTGCGAACGTTCGCGTGGTGCAGAACAACCTCGTGTTCGTCGTGGGGCTACCTGTTCGGCTCGCCGATCCAGAGGTAATGCAGTAAAGTGACCCATAATGTACTCACATTATGATCTATTGTCTATATTGGCGAGATTATGTAGATCGACGGGCGCTCGCGAACGTTCGCGTGGTGCAGAACAACCTCGTGTTCGTCGTGGGGCTGTCCGTTCGGTTCGCCGATCCAGAGGTTATACAGTAAAGTGACACATAATGCACTCACATTATGATCTATTGTCTATATTGGCGAGATTATGTAGACCGACGGGCGCTCGCGAACGTTCGCGTGTTCGTCGTGGGACTGTCCGTTCGGCTCGCCGATCCAGAGGTAATGCAGTAAGGTGACCCATAATGCACTCACATTATGGTCTATTGTGTAATTCACGAGCACTCGCGAACTAACATTTGCGTCCATCCGGATTAGAACCTGGGACCTCATGAGTAGGCGATGTACTAAAATTTGGCGTATATATTACTCGGTGACGGAGGTCGTCACAATATAACTATCGGCGTCGTATGATCAATGGCCCAACACATGGTAGTTAGCCCGTATTCGGGTACACGAAAGGCATTACTAGAATTTGGGCACCCGAAGCAATATTTACATTGGAATACGGACTGGAAAGACTGTGTTGGGTAAACAAAACAAAATTAACCGGGATCCTTTAAAAGAGACGTGAAGAAGCAACATGCAATCCGGCAGGGTGAGGATAGCCGGTGTGGCAGGTATAACTGCTGTATCAGCAATCTACGCGTCTGGACTTCACCGACACTTAACATCAGGTGGGGTGGAGTCATTTGTCGGACCTATCAATACAAAAAAAAAATACGGGCGTATTCGACTCCGTTCATTTACGCTTCTTTTTTTTACTTCGACATTGTCTTCCAATCCGTATATAAGTTCTTGAAAGATTTTATTGATTGGTAATTTGGTATCATTATCGGCCTATTAATGCCCCAATGCTGGGGCACAGGCCTTCCCTATGGATGGAATAGGGAGCAACGGCTTAACGTGCCTTCCCAAGCACGGAGAAACATGAGATAGAAGATTTTTGGTCACCCATCCAATGACCGACCACTGTGAAAGTTGCTTAGCTTCAACGATCGCAGCCGAAAGCGATAACCACCTGCGCCGTCGAGCTTCTTTAGGTTTTTTATATTATGGTAATTCGGTATGGTCACTATTTATTCAGGGTCACTTTAGAGTAGTAATTTCAGTACAGATTCGTTCTAGTTAATTATGTGAGTAGATAAGTTACGATGATAAACCGATCTAGTACCTTAAAATGTATAAGAGAGCAGAAAAAGGTACTGCCTTTTCAGCTCGCGGATCAACGTTTACGCCCGTTCGTACTAAAATGACAGTTATTGTATTCATCTTTAGGTCTACATTGGCAAAATATGCCGTTCTGAACAAATCCAACGTCTATTACGGAGATAATAATTTCGTTTCGTTTAATATTACATTTTGTTTCAGATCCTAAAACGGCAGGAGTACTTTGGCAAATATGGAAAAATTCACAAAGTAGTTATAAACCAAAGTACCGCATATGCAGGGTCACAGGTAAGCTGCTTTTTGGATATTATTTGTTTAAACTGTACTTTTGATATATGCTATAAAAAGAGATTGGATAATTGGACGCATATTTACCTAAGGTTTTTATTATGGATGCCTTTATGACTTTAATGTTATTATACTTTACGTTACTTATTATACTTAATTCTAATTGTTAAAACAAGTTAGAAGAGCGCTCCCTCTCTGTTACACAGTTGCGTACAAACAATAGACATAGGCAGTGGACTACATTCTCTTTCCACAAGTAAATTAAATCCGGTCAGACAAGTGTGAAAGAGACAAAACGATCTAGCGACCAATAGTTTATATAGGTTCCATACATCTATCCCTTTCTAATCAAGTTCTTGCGAGTGTCGCTTAGTCCGTTCTTTATGTCTACGGATTTATAATGAGATTCAACTAAGAATAGGACCGACTGGGCGCCATATTCTGATGTCATAGCTGTCAATTCAAACCAAATAGGTAGAGGGAGTAAAATAAAGTTTTTAATAAAACTTATTTACTATTATAATTTTTATTATTTTTAAAGCATGTAACTGCTTGATGTTTAAATCTAAAGAAAATATAACTAGAAAAAATTCCACGCGGACCAGGCAGCAGACGGGACTCGAACCCGCACCCTTCGCAATCCGGGCTAATGCACTGACCAATTATGCTACCGCGGCCCTCACGGACCGCGTCGAAATTCTTTCTAGCTATTCTTAAGCTGCAAGGCAGCGCCATCTCTTCGCATTATAGGTAAACCCACAATCGATTCGATCGGTTCGAGTCCCGTCTGCTGCCTGGTCCGCGTGGAATTTTTTCTAGTTATATTTTCTTTAGATTATTTACTATTATTAAGTAAGAAAAAGCATCAGATTTTTTAATAACATTTATATTACTCATATTGAGAAAGAAATCACCGATTTTTAATAATATTTATTTAATAAGACTGTGAGAAAAAACATTAATCAGAATCTAGCTCTTCTATTCCGCTCATTTCTGCATTACCGCCGGAGTAGTTATGAATAATCATGCACTATTACTAGGTCACATACGAACATGCATCCTTTATGTAAATGAAAGTTTGAAATCGAGTTTCTGAACGCAACTTAAAGTGACATTTGGTTGACGATTTAGGTTATCAACCATTCATGGCCAAAGCTCAATAAGTGAAAAAAAAAATTAACCGATATTAATCATCAATATTTGTTATTGTTTGTTTACAAATGTTTGGTTTTTATTCTTGAATTCGGAGAGTGCTAAAAAAGGGTTCCAAGATTTTTTTTGCAAACCGTACTTTTCAAGCGACATTTGGCAGATAGAGGTCATTGGCTTTCCTATTCTTATTTAAATCGCATTATACATGTAAACGGAATTAAGGTTTCGTTTACTGCGCCGCGCCGCGCCAACTTCATAGTGCAATCGTACTATATCTGTCACACGTAACTATACTTGACTTTAAGGCGAAATAAGATTTACAGTTTCATTTTAATTAGTGTTTGCTTTTTTTTAGTCTGTTCACGTAAGTTTATTTTTTAATGGGTTAGTTAACGGCAGTTTTAGTTGAATCTTGATTTAGCAAATTTGCTGCAACTGGGCCTGAAAATGCGATTCTTGGGCCCGTATTATAGAAAGATTCTCAGTGATTGATCTAGTCTTGAGCATAGTTAGAAAGGGATGTTGCTATATATAGCACATAGCGACATCCCTTTCTAACTGTACTCAAGTAAAGATCAACACTTACACCCATATTCTTAGTCGTTTCCTCGAGATTTTTTCCACTCGACTCAACAACAACAAAAATATCCTTCACTTGAGATATTCCTCACTGGAATGGAGGTCGAGTCGAGGAATTAACTGTCAAACTCAAGGTTACTCGACGTACCTTACGGCTTCCTCGAGTGGTGTTTAAGGTGTTTTCAAGTTGTTTTTATCGAGCATTATGTCTGATTTTGAGATTATTGACGAATTGGTGGATTTTATGGATTACGTATACGATGATGAACCATATAATCCAGCGCGACGGTATTTACGTGACGCATACATTCATACAAGTAATATTTCCTCTGCTAAGCATTACACTAAATTGTAATAACAGAGGACTACCTGTACCGCGTTTAATACAATTACTGGTGGCTTTGAAGTTTTACGTGACAGGATTATTTCATATAGGTATTTACCTATGTTTGTTGTGTGATATTTTACTTTACACATATAATATGTCTATGCTTTTATGCTTTATACATTTGTTTGTACTCTCAGTGGAGGAATTCTCAAGTTTGTTCAAGATACCTACTAGAATATCATTTTCGAGGTTATTTGGAGGAACTCATTAAGGAGCCCTCGAATGAGTTAGAGTCGAGGAACGTTTGAGGACGCGACTAAGAATATGTGTGTTAGTGGTCATTCTGCAATACGGGCCTTAGTTTTGCAGGTCAGTGAAATATCAATAATACAACAAAATTGCATTGCCCCAGGGTCCGTCAGCGTCAGCGTACGTGACGTACGTATCGCCGGCGGACGCGTTGCGCGCGATACAGGGCGTCAACAACGTCACGTTGGACGGACGCGTGCTAAAGGGCTCGTTGGGCACCACCAAGTACTGTGCCAACTTCATGAAGAACCAGCCCTGTCCGAAGTCCGACTGCATGTATCTGCACGAGCTAGGTGAGCTTTACTCAAGAGTCAATATTTTTTATTGTTTTATTTTGTTGAGATCGCGGTAGGAGGCGGTGGCGATTGGTCGCTGAATATTCGCTTTTTGAAGTGAAACTTCTTTACGCACGCTTGACTTGGGGGGTAATCTGGCGAATGCGTTACTCGTTACGAAAAGTGTGTTCGGGCGAACGGGAGTTGAGTGGGGGATATAAGCAAGAGAAAGCAGTGCGTGCGCAAATTTTCTTTCTCTTTTAGCTAGTAAATGAAATATGTATATGTATATATTGTACACACAGACATATATATATATCGCTAAAGAAGTTTCACTTCAGTCGTGTGCTCTTAAGCACATTCGTTTTTTTCTTGCAGCTGTACCTGCTTATCAATCAATTCTTTACGCAGTATTTAATAAAGATAATTGTCTCTGAGCGGTACGCGTTGTCATGGTGGTGGCTTTGTACTGGTTTTGCTAAGATCAGCTCCTTTGTTGTTAACAGTTTCTGAATCATCGGCTGGAAATGATTGATTAGATGGCAATTCATAAATAGAATTTGGTCTTTGTCTATTAGTCACGAATGGAATGCTTGTTAAGTTTTTTTGGGTTTTTATTGGATACATTCATATTTATTCCCACGATAGGGATCGATCTAAAAAGTCGCTTACGGTGTAGCGCCCATTTCCGTAAGTAGGCACTATACGACGATGCTAGCCGGTCGCATCGAGGTGATGCTATAAACTGGAAACCCCCCAGCCATTCATCTCTTCGGCACAGTCCTTACCATTAGGATTTTTCTTGTAAAGTTTGTCTTCCTTGAGTCAACAGTCATTTTTATTGAGGTTTACTTCCTCGTAATTCTAACAATGTAGCTCAAACCCTCAGCCCTACGAGACATGACCGCAGGGACCGCGTTGTTGGTGTCATTTCCTACCTCCAACAAGAACAAACTTGTTAGCTTTGCTAGATCGGGTTAGGGTATTGAGAACTTCGGAGATTTTGTGTGGTTTCGTTTGAAATTCGTGATTTCTCGAAAACCGGAAGTGCTACGTTACTCAAATCCGGTTTGTAGTCTTATCAGACTATTCTTAACTTATAACTTAAATATTCTCTTTATCTATCTCTTACGGTTTGGCCGCTGAAACAGCACCACAGACAGACGGACGGACGGACTTGTCTAATATTTAGATAAGAGATTGTAGAAACAGCTTATCGAAACGTTTGGACCAATTTAAACTTAAGCTTATTTCAATAGATATAAGGTCCACATTCCATCGATGGTTGGTAGGGACCACCAAATACGGTGCCAACTTCATGAAAAACCAGCCCTGTCCGAAGCCCGACTGTATGTATCTGCACGAGCTAGGTAACTGTCTTAGTCAAAAGTTAAAGTTGAAAATACTTTTTTCAAATTGGAAGCATAGTACAACTTATTTAAATCGTCCATATTTTTGTCCCTACCACCCGTCAAGGAATAGCTTTAGCTGTGGAGAGACACGGGCGAAAAACAACTTCACAGCATTAAATAATTTTGTAACAATATTTACAAAATGTCATGTCAATCTTGTCATCTTTATCATAATTATAGAAACAACCTGTCGGACCGTTTGGACTAATTTAAACCCAAGCTACCACATATAGGGTACATATTCCATCGATGGTTGGTAATTGTAGGGATCATTGGGCACCACCAAGTGCTGAGCCAACTTCATGAAGAAACAGCCCTGTCCGAAGACCGGCTGCATGTATCTGCGCGAGCTAGGTAACCGCTTTATTCCACCAGACACTGGGTCCACATTCCATCGACGGCTGATTATTGTAGGGCTCTTTGGGCACCACCAAGTACTGCGCCAAGTTCATGAAGAACAGCATGTATCTGCATGAGCTAGGTAATCTTTTTTATCAGACTTCCACATATTCCAGACATTCCACAGACTAAATTCCGATGTTTTTAGAGTTTCTAACCAATAACAATCGAATTACATATCTTGATAATAATAATGTGCGAGATATACAGGGTGTAAATATCGTATGACAAAGACTCAAACTACGCATTCTGTACACCCAAACAAGTAATATTACAAAATATTTTTTATACGTGGGTAAAAATTGTATTTTTAAGTTAAAAAAATACATTTTTCCCCCTTATGCAATGTATAGCGTGGCGCGCTACTGTGGCGCTACTCAAAGAATGTGCCTGTGTGTATGTGTGTGCGTGTGTGTAGGTGCGTCGATCAATAAAAACCTGCGCCTGTGCAGAAAATAAAAAAAAAATAAAAAGATCTTCCTTTCAAGCGGATTTGACCTTACAATCTATACACAAAGGTGTCATTGTCGCGTGCAGGTGATCCTAAAGCGTCCTTCACCAAGGAGGAGATGCACGCGGGCCTGCACCAGGTGTACGAGCGGAAACTCCACAATCAACTGCTGCAGGCGCAGCGGGATAAACCCGACGAAAAGCAAGCAACAGGTAACAATATATCTCTATATAATATAAAAATCAATTGTTGTTCGTTAGTCTCGCTAAAACTCTAGAACGTCTGACCGGATTTATCTTATCGTGGTCTTGAAATGTTCGTGGAGGTTTAGGGAAGGTTTAAAAGGTGAGAAAGTATGGAAAAATTGCGAGGAAGATAGTAAAAACGTCAATTTAATTTTCCCATATAAACTCTTCCATCTTCTTGCCTGTCAAACATTTGACGTTCGTCCTTTTTGGTGCGGTAGACTCGGGTCCGTCATTTCTTCCATTCCCTACGAAGTACGCGGGGTCAACTAGCCTTTTATATAATATCGATGTAGAGATTGTAGTTTTCAGATTTTTTTTGTAAGAAGTAATCTGAATGTATTTAAACGATTTCGAAAGTTCTTCTCTTCTTCCTTTCTTTAGAAAGCTACTTGTTAGCGACATAGCTATAACTTATAGTCGGGTGGGTCGTCGTTAGTATAAAATTGATGTTATTTCTCCTTTTTTTTTTCTTCTTTTTAGGTATTACTATAAATATATGAATTTACTGGGTCAGCTAGACCCAGCGATGGCGGTACGGCCATAAAAAAATAGGGGTTGATGGTACAAGGGTGAACCTTAGGGTTGTATGTATTTACTAATGCTGTATCATAAAAAAAATAAAAATAAAATATCTAAAATAAAAAAAAAATTAGGGGTGGATTACCATTAACATTTAGGGGGATGAAAAATAGATGTTGTCCGATTCTCAAACCTACCCAATATGCACACAAAATTTCATGAGAATCGGGAAAGCCGTTTCGGAGGAGTTTAACCACAAACACCGCGACACGAGAATTTTATATATTAGATTCAAACTATCAAATAGTTTTTTGTTAGTTTCAATAAATACATATTCTTTTAGAGATACTTTTTCCTGCATGGTCTTGGAGTCAAAATGTGAATTACTTTAAATGAAGCTTGCAATGAAACTCTAGTATAAGGGTTTAAAAATCAATACATATTTACAGACAGTATAATCTTAAAAAGTGATATTAAGCTTCAGGAATATTTACGGTCTAGTCTGGGGCGGGCGAGGAGCTCGATGGCGCAGATGCTTAACGGATTCGGCTGCGAACGTTGAACTTAAGCAACTTTCGCAGTGGTCGGTCATTAGATAGATCACCAAAAAACTTCTATCTCGAGTTCCTCCGTGCTTCGAAAGGCACGTTAAGCCGCTGGTCCCGGCTGCTGCTGCAGTCGCTAGCACCCGCCAATCCGCACTGGGACCGCGTGGTGGGTCATGGCCCAATCATCTTTTCCATCCATATGGAAGGCTTGTGCCCCAGCAGAAATGGGGACATTCATAGGCTGATGATGAATATTTAATAATTAAATAAAGGAGTTGATAGAAAGACTATGCAGAATCTACAATGCGTTCAATTCTAGATAGCTCAAGGCGAAATCCTTAACACCGGAGAATGCAGTTGCATTTTATAATTTGTTTCTATTGTATGATATTTTCATTGTACTATAACTCAGTCACTGTTGCAGGTAACCCTAGTACGAATGCAGAAAAAGGCAGTTCAAAAGATGGTAAGTATGGCAAATTTGATAATAATTTTATCAATAGTATACCTCTATTAGCCACCGTCACGAGAAGTTGTAAACTGAGGACCTGGCGAACAAAATGGTATAATTAAGCATCTGGTCAAGCTAAATTTCTTTTTACAGTCCGGAGGTTTCGGGCCCGTTGAATTTGAATCTCAAATAATTTTTAATTAAGACCGCCTAAAACAATATTAACATAACTAAATTTATAAATTAAAAACCATGCCAAAAACTCACTGAAGGTATGTCATTCAGTTTTATACAGCTTCTTGTAAAATTTAATTTTAAGTAATTATACCGTTTTGTTCTGGCGAATAAACTCCTCAACTATGTATCCTCCCTTTTGTAGTCGGCTAAATAATGTACGGATATAAAGCATGTGCTAATGACCAATTTCAATTAGTTAGGTTATACTTATGCGAGATTGTTCGCTGTTTTCTTGTTTACATGCTTTTTATAAACATTTGTTTCGACATTTAGAAGTAACCATGCTTAAAGTTAATTGTTGTATGCGCAGTTTAAGATATATATATTTTTGTGTATTGATTCCAAATGCTGATATTATAATATTTTTCTCTTGTACATGTCATTGATGATATTTTTTTTTGTTGTAGGTAATCAATCGAACTTTATTCCGACAACAGTGGTCACATCTTCACATATAAACGTAGTCAATTCAACTAAGTAAGTATTAATTATAGTCATTGCTTCTATTTTCTAGTTTTTTAAGTAAATTATATTACTTTTATTCAAGTATTAAATACAAGTCAATTAATCTAAATATCGATAAATACCACCCCGTGTCGTTCCTGGCTCAAAGGTGCCCATAATTGCCACGTTTGCCGCATTGCCACGCTGGATGGCAATAGACAGTCTTTGTAACAGTCTCTGTAGCATGAGCACTACAATTTACATTATGTCACGTTTTCTATCGCGTCTAACTGTCATGCTCCATAGTAATTTGACAAATGAGCGTAATAAAAACGCGTTATATATCATATCGCGGTGCTTATCCTAGTGGGGCTGAAACAACCGGGAGCGAGGGTCATCACTTTTAAAGTTTTCTAGGATTTTGTTCATGCTACTTCGGCATGCTTATGCCTAAGTTTTCAGGTATTTTAAAATACTTAACAATTAATCAATAGATTTATATCTTATAGATCAATCTATATTGTTATCAGAAAACTAACTTTAAAGTTTTAGGAATATATTGTTTTTTAGTTCCTGCATTTCACTGTCGGTTAAGCCACTGAAATACAATGATTTAACGACTAATTCTGCTTACAAATTTTTAGATTAAACCAATGATATTCAATACCCTAGATACAACAACACGAACAAAATCGTGGCCGAAACCTGTCTCAAAGGTACATTGGACAATCCACGGAGCTCCGTAACATGATCGCGTAGTCAAAAACAATATAAGGCATTGTTTAAACATTGAAAGTCACCTTAAATGCATAGTGTATGAGGTCTTAATTAAAAGGCATGCGTCAAAGAGTTCAGTTCGATATGCAAGCTTGTAAAATTTTACGACTTATTGCTATATATCTGGAAGAATATAATAGACTATATATATCTTTGACTCTACGCGCAATTCTGAATGCTCTGTTAGCAATATAGCAGGTACGGACCGCGAGGAAAAAAATTGGCTATATAACCGAAAACGCTATTGAATATCACAAATTAATATTTTCTATTAAATCAGTTTATAGTAAGCATTAGAACAAATTTTGCTTCAAATGCGTTAAATTTATAAACATTAAAAATTATTAATTAAACGATTATCTGTTGAAAAAGTTCTTTGTGTTTTTTCGAATTTTTCACGGAGCTCTGCGGCGTTTTGACTTTCCAATGATCCGCGTGTGTCTGCGAACCAAGAATCGCTTGAGTGGTGTTCAAGCACTTCTTGATTAGGACACATTTTGAAAGCACATGGTGTATGATATCGTTGGATTAAACACAGTTTACTTGCCTAGTACCGATTGGTGGGTGCTAACAACTGCAGATGTAGTAGGGACGGCTTTCCTTAGCGTGATTTTCGAAGCACGTAGGAGAAAGAGATAATAAACATTGGTCATTTATCCAACAACCGGCCATTACGAAAGTAGCTTAATTTTCGAGATCGCAGATGAAACGCGTTAAGACTTGCAAATGTTTTAATATATAATTAATAAAGCAGACGTGAGAGTCGTGGACATAGAACACAGAAAAAGGTCTTGAGGGCGGGGCAGGCGCGCCAATGTTATGTGTGAGCAAACGCTCATAACTTGACCAAAACTTGGTTCTAATTGCGTCGTTGCTCTCGGATGTAAGCGCTGATTGGATCGATTGTTGGATTTCGCGTCGTTTGATGGGCTTATCTATTCGGTGGAAGTGTAGTGGGGGCGAGCCGGTGACATCGTTTTCCGTACAAACGGTTTATTCATCCTTCTAATTTCTTTCTGTGGTCGTAGATCACTCAGTTGGAACGAAGTTTAAAATAAACATAAGTTTAAGTACTCAACTACACACAGTACTTTCGCAACAACGGATGGTTGCGTCGGAAAAAAATTACACTTCTTTTCTTCAGGGGATCTGCAAAGACCGCACCGTTCGAAAAGTAACTTCATACCAAAACTTGCGGGGTTAATTTATTGCACCTTCGAGTTCCTTCAAACTTCAACCCCCTTATCAATAAACAAAGAATAAGCTTGAATAAGTTACTCTAGGTTTTGTCATTGTCGTGTCGTGTCACTCAGGTGCTATTTTTAATTCATTATTCATTGAATTAAAAATAGCACCTGAGTGACACGACACGACAACAAAACATGGTGTAACTAGTCTAAGCTTATTCCTCGTTTGTAAACAGGGAGGCATTTGACATTTCAAGCGTGCCATAAAACTCGATAGAGCAAGTGGTTAGCGCGTTCCGCTGCGATCGTTGAACTTAAGCAACTTTCGCAGTGTTCGGTCATTGGATGGGTGACCAAAAATTTACTATCTCGAGCTCCTCCGTGTTTCGGAAGGCACGTTCCGGCTGCATCTGCAGTCGTTAGCACCCGCCAATCCGCACTAGGGCCTCGTGGTGGGTCATGGCCCAATCTCCCTATTCCATCCATAGGGAAGGCCTGTGCCCCAGCAGTGGGGACATTAATAGGCTGATGATGATGATGGTGAAACAGGGAGGCAAATATTTAAATAATTAATTCATTAGCCGACTAAGATTTTCATTTCAAGCGTGCCATAAAAGTTTTTTCTTCAACGCAGATCTAAGAAAGATCCGCTAGGCGTCAGCAACGGCAGTAACGGCAGTAGCAGCAGCAGCAGCGGCAGTGGGAAGGACGCGTGGCCCAGCCTCGGGTCATCCCCGCCCGCCCACAGCCCCGCACGGAAAATGAACAGCCCCAGACCCTGTAACTATATATCTATCTTTAATATATTAAATTCTCATGTCACAGTCTCTGTGACAAAATTTTCGGGTTATGGCTTGACCAATTCTTACGTTTTTTTATATATATTTGATAAGTCTGAGAATAGCACGTAAATAATTTTTCGTCCCCCAAAGTGTTGATTATTAAACTTCTGCAATAATTCACTGTGATACCTATGGATTAAATTTTTTTTTACAGCAAAATCACAAGAAAACGGCACATCGGAATCGTCAAGTCCCACACTCGTACAACAGCAACCACAGGCGAAAAGCAAAGACACACACACAGACACAAAAACCAACAGAGCCAACAAAGAGAACGGCACAAGCGCACAGACAAAGAAGAGCAAAAGCGACAAAAAGAAAATTAGCAATAGTATTAATAACGATAACAGCGACGACACGGAACCAAGCAAACAGTATAACTGCACCCAGTCACAATCTGTCTTTGAAAGTGATACACAGAACTTCCTAAATAGCGATTTAGACGAATTAGAATCGGACAGACACAGCCTGTTGGAAAACCACGACTTATTAGATAATAGCGAACACAGCCTACTAGACGATGATAATACACACAATCTACTCAACGATGCGAATAATGAAGTCATGATGATGCAGAGGCATAGAGAAATGTTGGCCGGTCTCGTGGACAATAACCATATATTGCCACACATGAAGAATTCTTTAGTCAATGGTTACGGTCTGTTAGACAGAGATATGCCGTATATAGGTAACGATAGGCCGCTTAGTCAAATTAGCCAAGGTCTCATGGACCAGAAAGAATTGATGTTGAGGGAAAGAAGCCGGAGTGAAATGATGATGAGACAGAACGAGCTCTTAGCGAGACAGCACAATGTAGTCATGGAACCTAAACATTATATGCCTATATCTAATATAGGAATGGAGTCTACTAGTGAAATATTAGGTAAGTATATGTACACTAGTCTTACACTCATTTGATCGAGATAAATATACTGTTATAATTTGTATTTTTTAAGCATTTAACTGCTAGATGTTTAAATCTAAAGAAAATATTGCTAGAAAAAAACAGCATGAAAAAGAAAAATAATCTCAAATGTTTAATATAGAAGTATTCATTTGACATTGTGGGTTACCTACAATACGAAGAGATGGCGCTGCTTGCAGCTTAAGAACAGAGAATTCGCCACGGCCGCCAGGGCCGCGGCAGTATAATGGTCAGTGGGTTCGAGTCCCGTCTGCTGCCTGGTTCGCGTGGCATTTTTTCTAGCAATTTTTTCTTCAAATATATTGTTTTCAATGACACATCATATTTAAATATAGTAGCCACATGTGCGTCCTTCAGTATATTTTAGATGTTAGTTGATTTCGTACGCATTTTTTAAATGGCTACCTCTTGCAAATTAGAATAGATGTATATAATTTCCATCTTTTGATGCTAGTACTTTATATGAATATTCAAATTTTCTGTTTGTTAAATTGATAACAGTTTCCTTTTCATTGTGAGTATGTTATGGACGATCTGATATCAAAATGATAAATTACAAATCTGAATGTGTGCCGGCATGACATAGACATACTATTTATAAACCAAGACATACCTGAAGTTTTGGCTTTTGGGGTGTTTACTTTTACTAAATACTTTATGGAATACACGTCATGGAAGAGTGAGAGCTCCTGACACGGGAAAATAAACTTGCCTGCTAAATTCTCAATTACTGTGTCACTAGCATAATATTGGTTTATGAAATATAGTATTGATGTGTAACATCTTTCCTATCGCTTTCCTGCAATTTGTGGGAGTGATTTCGTGAAATGGGACGGAAGTGTGTAACAGGAAGTCGCGAAAGCGCGCGCTATTTGATTTGATTTTAGAATATAATTTTCAAATGGCTTATTCCTTTTGTAGTAGGTTTTATTTCTTTTTTTACTAATATAAGGTGAGGTTTCAATTGTTACACATCATACGCGGCTACTGTAAGGCTCGCTCGTTTATTTTTGATTTGATTTATATTAACATGACTACGTTTACAGGTGCTAATTACCATCCCAATCCCAATATGCTGCCACCTTTCGGTATGCGCATTGAAAACTCCATGGGAGGTAGTGGTCTGTCTTCTGGTATGCAGGCGGGTCCCAGCCTGGCCAACAGTATGGGTTTCATGATGCACAACCAGCAAATGATGCCCCAGGGGATGGTCAACGGGTTCGATGCCCCGCAGAATACGGTGAGGCACTTATTAGTATATATTGTTTTAAATTTTCACGGTCAATCAATAATAAAATAAATATTTCCAACACACACCAATTAGCCTAGCCCCAAAGTAAGCACTGCAAGGCTTGTGTTATCGGATACTAGGGTAACGGATAGGATACATATATAAGTATATTTATATAGAAATACATATATAACATCCATGACTGGAGTACAAATGCTCGTATTCATCACACAAACATCTGCCCCCCACCGGGATTCGAACCCGTCGAACCTCTCGAGTCGGCGACACCATGAAACCCGGCGTACCAACTACTCGACCACGGAGGTCGTCAAATAAATGAATACAAATAAATGAATTCAGAGGGTAGGCCAATATGCCGGCTAATAACATCTACCCGCAATTATTTTAGTTATTCCGTAATCACGGCGCTTGCTTGTCACGGAGTAACTGAAGTAGTTGCGGGTAGATGTTATTGGCAGACATATCGTTCTACCCTCTGACTAGTCATTTAATGCGGTCGATATCCCTTCCACTGGTCATATAGTCATTACTCACACGCAGGTGCTGTAATATCGGTGATTAAAAAAAAACAAGGTACATCGTACCAATCTCGCAAATAACTAATACAGTCACGTATAGCTGGAACTAATAATAGGGATGAAGACTAACTTTTTTCCCTTTCGTCACATAATCTTAAATAACAGATATATATTAATTTGAAATATCGCTTGACGTCACGTCTTGGTACAATGTTTACTTTGAAGTGACGTCACGAGCCCCCACTCCTATCGTAATTTTTTGGTTGATTGACAAAAGAATATATGGGTGTCCATTATTTTCGTCGCACCCGCCAATCCGCACTGGGCCCGCGTGGTGGGTCATGGCCCAATCTCCCTATTCCATCCATAGGGAAGGCCTGTGCCTCAGCAGTGGGGACATTAAGAGGCTGATGATGAATTATTTTCGTAATAGAATATAGTAAAACCAATTTAAAGTCTTCTTATTTGAGAGAAAGAATAATGTAATAGACTTAAAAAGTTAGATTTTTTTTCTTGGATAAAAAGATCCTCTTGGATTGGACCGAAAAGCGCTTTGCTAAACGCTCCTTTTAGGTACTGCGATTTTTATGTTTTATTTATACAGTCCAGCCGCTGAAAAGTGTTCTTATCAGGTCCTATCAGATTCTTAAGTTAACATAATATAGTACTTAAATATTGACCTAATCACCTTACAGTATTGGACATAAAGTCCAAAATCAATTTGTCTCCTTACATTTACATATTACTATATTTCGCTCGCGAATGCGCTTGCGTAAGCGTTTGTTTGTTGAAAGTATACAGGAACCTTAAACCTCTCAATCCAGATAATATACATTAAATGAGCCAAATTTCATCCAAATCCATACAGACGTTTTTTTTTGCATGCTTGATTCACCTTTTCAACTAAAGTTGGATACCTACAAATTTTCTTGTATCGGATTTTTTTTTATGTGAAACAATTAAAATTATTTTAATCTCTTTCCTTTGTTATAGAATGAGGGCCGCTACCTAGCCGAGAACATGGATAAGTTCTTCACAGACTTCCACAAGGCACAGCAATTAAGACTGCTGAGTCGCGGAGACGATGTCTCCTCACGCTATCCAGATCATCACCATTTACCGCACAATATGCTCAGCGCAGAGAGACTCGAAATGGAACACAAGCAGAGGTATGGTCACCCATTCTTTTTCTTTCTTAGCTTTCATGATCGCAGACCGATCGCGCTATCTAGGTCATCATCACTTAGCGGACAATATCCTCAGCACACACACAAGCAGAGGTAATTATTTCCGAGAATGACTCGCAATGTTTTTAAGTTGGATATATTCACGTCACGTTTTCTGCGAAAATTCAGTTAAACTTATGTAGTCGAAGGACTCGTGTGCAAACGTAAAACACAAAATACTTAATCGCCGTGCGTTTTTAGGTAATTATTTTCGACAATGACGGGAGCCGTCTTGCTGGCTACTTTCTATTCTGTAAAACATGGTAGAAATCCTGCTATTTCTAATTGTGGTACATGGTAGAGGAATGCCGCTAACTAATCACACTAAATATTATGAAACTAATATTATATAATGTTGTTTTAACGACCTCCGTGGCCGAGTGGTTTATACGCCGGATTTGGAGGTGTCTGCCTACACGAGAGGTCCCAGGTTCGAACCCGGTGGGGGCAGATGTTTGTGTGATTAATACGAGCATTCTTGTACTATGTACTTCAGTCATGGATGTTTAATATATATTTCTTTATAAATATACTTATACTAGCGGCCCGCCCTCGCTTCGCTTCGGTGTAGAGCTGAAGTGTAGACTACAGTTTTTGTTCTCAGGCTTGTTTGTTGACAATGACATTCATCTACGATTCTTTTTATACCTGCATGCAAAGTCTCAGCCCGATCGGTTTAAAATTGACAAAGTTTCATACAAACTTAATGAAAGTTTTCTTCCCTATTTTATCCTCTTGGGGGTAGAATTGATTAAAATCCTTTCGTAGCGGATGCCTACGTCATAACATCTACCTGCATGCCAAATTTCAGCCCGATCCGTCCAGTGGTTTGGGCTGTGCGTCGATAGATCACTATGTCTGTCAGTCACCTTTGAGTTTTATATATATAGATATGTATCAGCATATATATATTCCATCCGTTACCCTAGTATCCCATAACGCAAGCCTTACAGTGCTTACTTTGGGGCTAGGCTGATTGGTGTGAGTGTGGAAATATTTATTTCATCATCATCATCATCAGCCTATTAATGTCCCCACTGCGGGGGCACAGGCCTTCCCTATGGATGGAATAGGAAGATTAGGCCATGACCCACGCGGGCCCAGTGCGGATTGGCGGGTGCTAACGACTGCAGATGCAGCCGGGACCAACAGCTTAACGTGCCTTCCGAAGCATTCCATTGACCGACCACTGCGAAAGTTGCTTAACTTCAACGATCGCAGCCGAACGCGCTAACCACTTGCGCCATCGAGCTCCTCAAATATTTATTTAATATTGTATAATGTTGTTTTGTTCGCAGAATGAACAATATGCGAGCCGATGGTATGGGCGGTCGAGCGGCCGGCGACGGAGACGACGATCTAGACTTCGACCCCTTCAAGGAGACACAGAAGGCGCTCGCCGAGATGATGGAGACGGAGATGATGCAAAACACCGTACCCAGCGGGTATGTACTTTTTTTTCATATCAAAAATAACAATTACATAGCTAAAAAGCACGCCATAAATCGCAAGGATTTGTCCGGTGTGCTAAGTACAAATACGATTCAATATCATAGAAAACATAATATTAAGGTGGTTAGTTAGTTACCTAGTAATTTAACATTTATTTTTACACATATTTACATTTATACAACAAATACTTTAAAACTACTTACTATACTTAAACTACTACGTTAGTTACCTTCAATTATTTTTACAAGTATCATTATAACTGTTGCAAGAGGTGAATAGCAATGCGACGTGAGGGGAAGGGATAGTACCGCAAATACTTGGACCGGTTCCTTTTAACATATCTACAAGTTGCTCAAAAAATATGATTTAAATTTACCTTTGAAGTTGTTTGCTGTGATACTTTTTTTTGAAGTTAAGATCTAAATCATTTAGCAAGCGGGGAATTAAGTATTTCATAGTTCTTTTCCCATATACATTATTTGTAGCAATAAATTTATAGTATTCCATTACTTACCGCTGCTTAAGTCATTTATTTTAAGAAGTATTTAAAAAAAAAACGTGTCAATAGTTTGCTGCACATATACTTTACAATGGAGACAAAAGGGTTGCACTGGAACTTTAAAATGTATATAACAAATAAAACAAAGTTTTTAACGGTTTAGATGTACTGAGTTTATTTATTTATTGACGTTTCGCATCCTTTGCAGGAATGCGTCGTCAGAATAATGACTTTTTAAATTTACTTATGAACTTAACGTAAATCTTAGAAACAAATATATATCTAACACCAAAGATTTGATTACGCATGTTGGTTACGCAATTAGGGTTACCATCCGTCCGGATTATTCCGGACATGTTCGGACTTCTAGAGGGGCCGTTCAAGTATTACGTAAGCAGATTTGTTACAATTATTTAGCCCCTCCTCCCCTTTGTCAGCAAAAGTAAGCAAAGCTCTTACTCCCCCTCTCACGTGCTTACGTAAACATTGGTACCTATATGCATTTTTCTTTTATTGTATTCTGTTTTTTATTGATTCATGAGCTTTCATGAGCTTTTTGAGCAGCAGTTAAATAGGCTTAGGATAGAGGACTTTAACGCACATAATATGCATTTAAACAAACTTTATTGACACAATATTCTTATTAAGTACTATTACGAACAAAAAAAACTTCTTTCGAATTTTTGGTATACATATTCATTCCAATTAACAGTCTTCTGTCCATGACACCCGAATCCATGATGCTGACGTAATCATTATCTCGACCCCCCCCCCCCCCATGTCATCAAAAATAATAAAGGCAAAGACCCCCCTGCCCCCCTATAGTGCTTACGTAATACTTGAACGGCCCCAGACTATTGTCCGGATCTTTCAATTGTCCGGATTGTTTAAATTACTTTGAATATGAATAGTAAAAGTACATATTGATTTAAATGCCATACTATTGTAACTAAGTGAGTAATGGTACCATTTTGTGACCAAAAATTCCGGACTTTTATCAAAATATCAGGTTTTTTGTCAGGACTTTTGAAATTCCTAAATGGTTACCCTATACGCAATGCAAAACATGCAGTATTGCGAAGTTGTGTTTGCGAGTTTACTCCACTTTTTAAATTGCCGAGATTTCGAGCGCTCACTGCGTTACGTCACGATTAGTGATGTAAAATGAGAAAAAAAAACAATGCTTTATTTCATAAGAAAAATAGGTAAAGTAACGGTCCATCGTTACTTTTTTCTAAGATGATGTTTTATGAAGGTATTTCTGATCAGATATATTGTTTTAAAAAACTAACATTGTTCAAATGACTTATTAGTCAACTCGCCCTGTCGAATCTGGACCTCTGGCGAGTTGACGAATTTTCATTTGTTATTCGTATATGCGACAACTCGCCATCTTAAAATCTAATAAATCAAGGTTCTTTTACCCTATAAACACTTAAATCAATTGCAAAGATCCATTGATGGAGCTTTTTGCACTCTTATGTCCACTTTAATACTTGATCTAGGATTTACTGCAAAGTTGATTTTAAAAAAATAACGTGGGTCTGAAAACCTATTTAGTGACATTCATCTATTGTATGCGTGGGGATATACACACGCAAACTTCCCTGTTTTCTGAAGTGGCAGCATTGAGCCGAAAGGTCCACTGATTTTCCAAAACGTATATGAACCAATTTAAATGCATGCATGGTGCATTCGCGCCAAAAACTTCTGAAGATTCAACAGTAAACAGTGTTGCCAACTGGTGTCATGAATTTTCATAGAAATTATTTTTAATTGTAGTTGTATTTATTTGTTTATTTTCTCCGTAGAGACAGTATGGAACGCGTGCGAAGGGCTCGCCTGGCGCCGCCTGGCTTCAGTCACGTGGGGCAGTTTCTACCACGCCCCGCCCACACTCACAGCCAAGGTGAGATTACTACCACAACACTACACTACTATGTCCAATAAATGAGAAAGTTTATGGAAGCATTACTCATTAACAAAGGTCGCCAAACATGGTTCCAAACTCGCGACACACACACACACTCCCTCACAGCCAAGATGGGATTACTATCACTACACTACACTAACCTGCAATACCATACCCAACGAAGCAATGATATGAAGCATTACTCTCTAACAAAGTTTGCCAAAAAATGGTTCCAAACTCGCGACACACACACACTCTCTCACAGCCAAGGTGAGATTACTACCACTACACTACACTATTCTACAATACCATACCCAACAAAGAAATGATATGAAGCATTACTCTCTAACAAAGGTCGCCAAAACATGGTTCCAAACTCGCGACACACACACACACACACTCCCTCACAGCCAAGGTGAGATTACTAACACTACACTACACTATCCTACAATACCATACCCAACGAAGAAATGATATGAAGCATTACTCTCTAACAAAGGTCACCAAAACATGGTTAAAAACTCGCGACACACACACTCCTTAACAGCCAAGGTGAGATTACTACCACTACACTACAATTTTACTTGGAACTTTACTGTCACGATATACCGTGTTAATTTGAGCAAATATGTTAATTTATTGGATCAGTTAATTTATAGGCATGACGCTCGAATGATTTTTGATGAACTTTTGTTTGGTGATTTTTATAGACCAAAGTTCTAATCAAAGTGTTAATGTTATTACTTAATAAAATAATAAATTTAATGCGATTGTTACGTGTGTTCTTACACAGATAGATGTTTTCAAACTTTTCTCAAAATATTATTCCATAAATGTTACTATTATTAGACTTTCCAATAGAAGTCATATCTAACTGTAACGTTAACAAAACTCGGCCTGCTTAGTAATAAGCTCTGTAGCACAAACATATGTTAGGTAGGCTGGGCAATAATAATATATTAAAAAAACACGAAAAAGTTGGTTATGAAATCAGCTTTAAAACTTTTAGCTCAATGGTGTCGATTCTGGTATGATTCGCTAAACTTAAAACTAAATTTAACAGCAGTCTCTCTTTTCATTCTGTAAAGACAACGACGAGGATACACTGTTGTCAAATTTAAGTTTAGGTTTAGAAAACTTAAAACTAAATTTAACATCAGTCTTTCCTTTTCATTCTGTATAGAGAATAAAAAGGATACACTGTTGTAAATTTAAGTTTAGGTTTAGAGAATCATTGGTGACGATTCCGGTATGATTCTCTAAACCTAAACTTAAATTTGACAACAGTGTATCCTTGTCATTCTCTATACAGAGTAAAAAGGACAGACTGATGTTAAATTTAGTTTTGAGTTTAGAGAATCCTGGCAGAATCGACACCAATGTAACATTTATTTTAAGCTAGGGACCGTCAAAACTTTAAATGCTAGGTGGGCAGATAGACATCTATCTGCCCACCTAGTCCGGGAATGTATCTAGCAATAACGCCGTCTACTATGTTTAATCTCTGTTAAATATAATCTCTTTTTTGTCCTTTGTAGTGTTACACAATTAACAATAATAATATTGTTTATTTTATTTCAGAGTTAGGTTTTTTTATAAAATAGTTATTTAAGTAAAATACAAAATTAAATATATTATAAAAAACCTAACCTAGAAGGCCACCAGCAGCGGGGCTAAGTCCAAGCTACCGGTGGTTAGGGCCGCAGAGAAAGAAACCGCTTGACGATGCGCTTATTATTATTATTATTGCAGGTTTCAATTCGAACAGCGCCATGTTTACAGACTGGACCCAAATGGACCCGGCGATCATGTCCACTTCCGTTCAGAACTTCGGCAAAACTGGCCCCGCGCCCGCCCCCGCTACGTCTCAACTAAGTCAGCAACAGCAAGAACTATTCGCAAGATTCAATCAACTAGGCGTCGGACCACAACATCAAACCCAACCACCCAACGGAGTCAACAAAATACAACTACCACTTATTCACCAATGGTCCCAACAGCCCCAAAAACTTGCCTGGGGCCCATACAATGGCATCCCTCTACCACCTGGCTTCGCACCCTCCAAACCACCCCAACACCCCGCCGAGTGTATCGACGCGAAGTAAAAAAAAAACAGTGCAATCTTCAAAAAATATATAATTATATACAAACACACCACACTACCGATATTATATTTTTATTTCGAGTACCACATGATTAATTGTGTCTCTCTCCTTTGGTGATGTGGACGATTGGTTGGTTGATGATCGATAAATCTTTGTATTTGAGAAGAGCATATTTTAAACGAGAGAAATATGATAACAAAGGAATTTGTAAAATAAATTAACATATTTGTTTTATTTAAAAAAAAAGGAAAATAATATTGATTCGATTTATTATTTCTTTTATTTTCATTTACTTTTTTTTCTGTTTTCACACACACTACAGACTCGGTCGTATCATCTCTCATTGGTTACTGCTATCATCTCGTTCTATATTTTCATGGCGCGTAATATATGTATATTCGTTATATATTTACTAGAATCATATCCCTGTTACGACAGATTATATTTTCTATATTAAAATGAGATGCCAATAAATCGCTGTTCCATTTGTACCTTATTGAGCCATTAATCATGAAAAGACCATTAAAAATTAAAGGAGGAATTATATACATTCTTTTAATGGTGCAACACCTACCTTGAACGAGATATCCTTATCTATTTAAAAATATAAAAATCAAAAGAGTATTTCAACATATTAAAATTCCAATTTATTTTCAATCAATATATTTTATACAGAAAGCAGGATACATTTCTTATAAGTACTCCATCAAATCAATCATTTATTATTTTATACTTTACTAGAAAACCCCATAGTTAAATAAAATTCCTTATAAGTTTATTAAAAGCTCAGTTGGTAATTACAATAACGGATTCCAATTCAAGTTTTAATAAATGATTAGAATAGGGGGGGGGGGGGTATTAATAGTAGTGAATTTTGGTGATCAGTCATTGAAAATTCTTCCATCTAATTGAAATAAGCGAAGTCAAATCTTATCTTAGAAGTCAAAGCCAGTTAAGAAGCTAAACTATGAGTACATACTTGGTTCTTTACGACCTAATCATGTTTGAGCTGAAACGGCTTAGAACTATGCGAAGCGTAAAGTTTATGTTTAGTAACCCTTTAACCACCACACAGTTTATCAGTTGGCGTGCCCCTAGCGCCAGGCATAGTAAATCGGAAAATAGAGATGTTCCATGGTACATTGATATACCCTCCTCAACGATATTAAATACCCTAGATACACCACGAGCGCTCAAAATGTGTCCCAATCAAGAAGTGCTTGAACTCCACTCGAGCACTTCTTGGTTCACACTCACGCGTGGACCGTTACAAAGTCAAGATGCCACAGAGCTCCCCGAAAAAATGTGAAAATAATACTTACAGTACGAAAAGTGTCATTTTTTCGACAGGTATCTTGTCAATGTTTGTTAATTTAACGCATTTGAAGCAAATTTTGATCTAATACTTACTATAAACTGATTTAATATAAAATATTTGTGATATTCAAATGCATGGTCGGTTATATGTCGCCATATAGCTGTCTTTTTTCCTCGCGGTCCGTGCCTACTATATTGCTAACAGCGCGTTCAGAATTGCGCGTAAAGTCAAAGAACTAAGATCTTAATTCTTACGCATATAGCAATAAGGCGTAAAATTTTCCAGCTTGCATTTCGAACTGTAAAAGTCCTTGACGCATGCGTTTTATTTAAGACCTTATACAGTACTGTTACGTGTCGGGATGGGGTTCGAATTTATATGCCAGTTCACGCTTGACAGTTCTTTATTCACCACACAGTTCACACAATTAACACACAATGACTTGCGGACTTCCCAATATTTTTTTATGTTAATTACAAAACACTCTTACGTTATCTGGCTTTGATCTCTAGCACTTTCGCGGTTACGTTTCGAGAGCGTTTGTGACAGTATTTGTATTAAGGTTACTTTCAATATTTAAATAATGCCTTATATTGATTTTGACTACTCATCTTACGGAGCTCCGTGGATCGTTCAATGTACCTTTTGGACAGGTTTCGGGCACGATTTTGTTCGTGTGGGTGTATCTAGTCTCCTCTACAAAATAAAATACAGTGGTTAAATTTATGTTCTACGACAAAATAATATTGACGAAGATATGACCAAATTACTAAACGAATTTTCGGTTGGCCGCGTGGTGGCTGTGATGTCACAGAGCTCGCGCGCGAGCGTGCGTAGAAACTACTGAAGTCCGACCGGAGAGGACCACGATCGAGTTCTGTGACGTCACACGTTTTGGCCGTCGGGGAATATTGACTACCATAAAATTAGTTATGAAATCGCAACGAATGAACCGATTTGTATGATTAAAAAAGTGTATAAATTAAAAAGCTTATTAGATCATTATACTGATTTTGAGTTGATGTGCTGACCTAGTAATGATCCTCATTGACATAAAGTTTATTATGCTATGCACAATTTCGTTGTGAAAATTCGCTTCCATTCCATTCCATGGTAGTGTAAATTGAGTCTTATGGTCACACGGTCACAATTTTCCGTCGATATAACTTCTCGGATCCGGTCCGTCCCACGGTACGGGGGTACCGTCGTGCCACACGTACAGGCCTCCGCCCTCGGGCTGCAGAGCCAAGCGGAGCGCGTGTACGGCACCCTGCTCCGGAGTTATGGACCCACCGCCGCGAGTCATGTCTGACATCACGTAGCCGGGATGCACGCAGTTCACTGATATACCTGGACGGAAATGATGTTAAATAAATAACTTAGTTCACAGGTTTATTGGTTTAAGTAATTAAAACCTGACCAGAGAAATGAAGTTTAGGACCAAGGTGTTTGGTTATAATTAGTTTGACAATTACTTATAAAGTTTCTTTTGTCCGCAATATTTTTTTACGAGGCGCAACATATTACCCCCCTCCACCTGATGTTAAGTGTAATAGTCCCTACTATAGCGGCTCCGCTGAGCCCAAGCAGGGATTTCAGGATTTACTCTAGCGTGGCAGACTAAAATAAGAGATGTAACCTTGCACCTGGTGAAGTACTTCCACCATGCCTGGGGGCCATTCGCCTAACGGAAATGCTTTGGAACACGCTAAAGCTTTCGATTTAATTTTGTTATTTATGACTGCCGAAGGTTTTCAAGTAAGTACCTCACGCTCATTTTCTTTAATATTGTTAATAATTACCAATGCAAAATAAAAAAAGAGCACGAGGCATTTGAAAACCTCAGATGGCTAGAAATAACAAAATGAAATCGTAAGCGTTAGCGTTTTCTAAAGCATTTCCGTTAGGCGAATGGCCCCCTGAACCCTTTCTGTAGAGTCGAACTGCTAGAGCAGCAAAAAACATTCAACAATCGGCCATGGCTTTAGTCGCGTCAAATTCATCAGTATTTTGAATAGCAGCTACAGGAGGGTTTATTTTTCTATACCTATCTGCGCATATGATTCGGAAATGTAAGGAAAATGCACTTGATTGGTCGCGCTGAACTCGATGACCACCGTGGAATATTGATTAAGTGTAGGCGCACAATAGGCGACAGCGACAGCTCGGCGACTAGACGCGACGACAGGCTGCGGCCGACAATTTCATATTTGTTGTTCAAAGCTTCGCACACTTGGCGTCAGAGTCGCGACGACAAGCTAGGGGAGTCGAGCGTGCTCGCTACTTGTCGCCGCGTCTAGTCGCGCGACATCTCTGCGTCAGTCTCGCTGTGAGCACTGAGCAAAGTTACTCTATGGCACTGAGGAAGGCAAGTGCAACTAGAGGCTCCATAATCACTCACAAGATGCACAACACTGCCGTCTCTCTCGAATATTCCACTAACTACTAATAATCGCTTCCTGCACTATGTCTGTCGTTAAGACTAGTCGCCGACGCTAGCGACAGCTCCGCGTCTAGTTGCGGCGATTAGACGCTAATTGCAAACCACAACGTCGTGACAAGTCGCCTAGTTTACGATGATGTAGTGAGTTGTATGCGGCAAATATTTTTTCCGGATCGCTCTTTCTTTACAATTAGCCTAATACCATAGCAATTTAATAAATTATAAAAGTGTAATATAATGATTATAAGGTTATTTTACGTTACAGCTACATAGCTGTACCCCTAGCACGAACCAATATCGAATTCGAATCGTTTGCGACTCCGAAATGTAATTGTCAAATGTGTACCACTGATTTTTAGTTCTCGTTACGTAACTACTTTGTGCCGCTACTGTTCAAGTATCCATACATATTTTTTATGTATGCGCGTTTATAAAGTACGTCCTAAAAACTTTGACGTTGGCGATACGAATACGGATCTGTCAAAGTTCGTGCTTGGGATATTTATCTAAGACCTTTGATTAAAACAAAAAGGGAAGATACAATATGCTCATACTAACATCAAATAAAACATTATCCGACTCAACTACATAAGCAACTCCGACACTCGCACACTCCTGTAAATAAACATTCAAACGAGGGAGCTAGACATAATTGTACGCTTTAAACACAGCGCGAGCGAAACGGCGCGAGGTCCTTGCTTTGCAGCCGACTGCTTTCTCTCTACAGAGCTCCCTAAGTTGTATTGTTGTCCTTTTCTTGATAATAAATGGCGAATCAGTAACTAACATTTATGGCAAACCGTGATTTATGAGTTTTTTTTTATAGTTTTACGAATGAAATGTGATGATTTGTTATCTTGAACTATTTGTGTTCTTTATAAAAGCATCGAAGGCATTGTTTTATATTCTTTATAACACGGAATATAAGCAATGTCGTTATATTCAGTGCACATGCAGCGTGTCCTATTGTGACTAAAGCGAATTGTGGTCATGCACCACAATTGAAGCGGATCACTTTTGAGTCGCGAGCTTCCCTTTTTGTTTTAATCTAAGTGTGACACTTGTCTACTGTCTGTATGAACCTAAATAAAAAACAACTAGTTTTGATTCTTAATAAGAGACAATAAATTATTTCTATTTAATCCATATTTAATAATAACTCTGGCTTATTCTTATCAATTTTGTAATACAGTATAATAAGGACACCGGAAATGTGCTTTAACAGAGTAGTCAAGATTAGACCTACTTTGTAGAGAAATGTTGGGTACCTACTTACCTCTTTTGGACAATTTCTTATGCAGCATGAAAGTGTAAGCATTCACTCCAACTTTAGAAACAACATAAGCCGAGTCACCCCATCCCTTCTCTTTTTCTTTGCCCTCCTTTGCTGCTTTTACGTAATCTACCATCAGATTCTTTAAGTCGTCCAAGTTTAATTCAACCGACTTGAACTTATTTCTCAATTCTTCTGATGGTATACGGGAAAGGTGGCCGGAAGAGCTAGAGATGTTCACTATTTTCCCATGGTCACTAACGAAAGGCAAAATGGCTTCAGTAAAATTTACCAATGCAGAGAAATTCACAAAAATAGTCTCTTCAGCTTGATACCACTTGGGTTCCGGCGCATCTTTCAAAAAAAGAATTCCCGCGTTATTTACTAATATATCTATCTTCTTTTGTTTATGTTTTAGAAAATCACAAAATCTTTTAACACTTTCATGCTTTGCGATGTCCAGTTGATGATATTCTGCATTAAGTCCTAATTTCTTCAGTTCTTCGCAGGCAGCTTTACCTCTTTTATCGTCCCGGGAAGTCAAATAAACGGTTCCATCGTATTTTGAGCAAAGTCCTTTTACTAACGCAAAACCGAGCCCTTTATTGGCTCCTGTCACCACAGCTAATTTATTAGACATCGATAATTTGTCTATTTCTTACACTACAAATTAATGAGTAAATGTATTTTGCTTCAAAATAAAATTTTGTTTTGTTATGAACGTACCAATGTTTTGAATTTTAATTTTGTCCGTTAACCTGTCTATTAGCAAAAAAGTAAAGGTGCAAAGAATAGACCTAATATTTAACTAGATATTATAACTTTTTGAACTACCTCTGTAAATAAGTAAAAAAAGATTTATAATAAAAATATACTTAGACATAACCTAACTTTATTATCCGCCTCTCTATCGGCTTTTCGAGGTCAGCTGCGTACGCACAGTCAGAATATAAGGTGTTGCGTCATTTACAAACCTTACTATGTGTTTTCATTGTCACTCGAATCTCGAAATCATCAAATTATCAGAAAGTGAAGGTCCTACATATGAAATCTGAAAATCTTTTTAACTAAAGTTCAAGCTAGCTATATTCTGAAGAATTGCATGATTTCTCTTTTGTATATTCCATTAGTTAAATAATTCCATCTATATATATATGTTATATATATATATATATATATATATATACTCGTATATAAAACTCAAAGGTGACTGACTGACTGACTGACACGGCCCAAACTACTGGACGGATAGGGCTGTTTGGGACGCAGGTAGATGTTATGACGTAGGCATCCGCTGAGAAAGGATTTTGATCAATGCTACCCCGAAGCGAGGGCGGGCCACTAGTTTATCATATAAGATAAGTTCGTAAATTACGGTAAGAGGAGCAGGGCACAGCGGATTTTGAGGCCTCTCCTGGGAAGTTACTTCTACCTTACAAAAATCTGCAGTGAAATAACAATACCTTTTGGTGGTGTTGTGTTTCGATGTAGATTAAATCGAAGCATCGAGATTTTGTGATAAGGATTTTACTAAGGAGACATAGACAATATGGAAGGCGGACGTAATTAACGTTTACGATTTTGTGATGCTTATGTTTGTGAATATTTTACTTATTAGGACAAGGAAATTTAAAAATCCAAAAAAATCTACAGTTTTTCTCGTTACTCATTTATTTATTAGCTCGTGCCGAAAGAACATTTATAATAGGGAGATAGTCAATTTATCATTTTTCTGTAGTGACTAACTATTAAAAGATCGAATCGGAAAGTGTAAATTTTGTCTTATTACCTTTCGAGAAACTCTATCAATGTTATGTAGGTACTCAAGCGGCGATAATTTATTTGAAGTCAGTAAATAAGGTATTGGTCTGTAACTTGCCGTGTTATCAAGTTTCGAGAATTATAAACAATGACAATAAAGGATTACAATCCGTTTGGTGACGAAATAGTCCTACGTTCCATAGACTGGTTGGAAAACTTCCCATGGAGACAAGAAAACCAGATATCTGTGATAAAGGATAAGTTTGTGATTAAAGTTAACGTGAAAGGTTTTAAATCTGAAGAGATCACAGTTAAAGTAGTTGATGGGTACGTAGTTATTAAAGCTTATCACGAAGAAAAGAGGGACGAATACGGTTATATTTCCAGAAAATTTGTGAGAAGATTCCCCTTGCCCGACGAATGCGTAAAAGATAAGCTCGAGTCAAGGATGACAGGTGATGGAGTTTTGACGATATCGGCGCCTAAGCATTTCGCAAAGAACGACACTGTGATACCGGTAAAACATGAAAATTCGGTTAAATCAAAACTTTGATGACTGTGTACAGAAATGAGATAACGCATATTTTTTGTAGTCGTATTTAAATACTGGGTGTTTCCAAAATTTGTTAAAGCTAAATATTAGATTTCTGCACATTACCTATGTATATAAGTATGAAAATAGGTACTTACTATACTTACTAATATTGTGCAGCTGTTTTGATAAACGTTATCATATTAACAATAACGGGCAAATTAAGGGCAATTTTGTTTTTAATTTGAAGTTTTTATAAGTTGCTATACTTATATTATTTGTAACCGAGCCAAATTTCTGTACCTTCTTAAAAATACAGGTACTTTTGTAAATATTATTTGCTATTCTACTTTTAAAATATACCTTATATCAATAAATAAAAAAACTTCCTGTTACTTACTTCTTTTCTTTCTGTGGTCTCTTAATAACATACCTTCCTACCTCACGAAAAATCGTTAAATTAATATGATTGAAAAAAAAACATTCAAAATTCGATCACTATTATTGAATTTAGCCTGTTACTAGCACTTGTGTTAGTTGAAAGCTACACAGTAACACCGTCGACCGGTTCCCAAAACCTATAGTGCCGGGGTGGAGGGCCGTCAGTCTTTGTAGTTAGTTAGAGTTAGTACTAAGAAGAACCGACAAGAAACTCAGCAAGGCCTGATAGTAGGATCGTACGGCAGGTCCCAGATGAGATACCTTCTTCTCGCTCCCCCGGTTGTTGAAATATGCGTAAGGCGTTTTCCAGACATTAAAAAAAGGCACCCTGTAGGCAGCGTAGCTTTTCTTTAAGCAGAGTTTTTTGTAAGTTGTGGACGTAGGCAAAACGTAACTAAGTAAGTACTTGGGTACTTGTGTTCGTTATTGACACGATAAAGTTTTTAAGGAACAAAATACTTTTAGCGTTAAGTGTGCCTTTTGTATTTTTTTTGTAATTGTGATAATAAATTTTAAATAAATAAATAAGAGAACGATTGCCCAGGGTGGCAAAATGCATATAAATGAACGTATTTAATTAACTATTGAATGAGAAGGGTACCAGTTTAGGTCTAGAGAATCATGCCAGAATCGACACCATTGACTTAAAGATTGTTTCCTCTTCGTCAAACGCCAAAATCGAAAGTTTCAACGTGAATTCTAGAAAACAATGTATTTTTCGTGAAAACTCATAATGTGTAAAGAGACGAAGGACTTTTCTTTATCAGTATTGTAATATACTTTCATGTTTTTGATAACTGTAAAGTGAACATATAACTAACTGCCTTAGTTTTTGAAATAGCAATATTAATAAAAACTTTATTCAAATTTGTCCAAAAATTAAAAGCTGATGCATGCTAATTTATTTTTAAGTTCATCATTTACAGAAACTATGTTGTAGTACTTAATTGATGTTATCTTTTTTTCTCAGCGAAGAAGATTGGTATACGATTTTCTTTGTTCTCGAAAATATAATTGGCAGATTTATTTTCGAGATCTTATTTAAAAATAGGACCTTTTCGTTTATGTTTTTAAGAATACTATAGTTTAAACCTAGTTTAAATACATAACAATAGTAAAAATCTTCAAACGTTCAAAATCGTACATACTTTTATGATGATTACCTATATGTATTTGCGAAGACATGAAAACTTAAAATGGCCATATCTTACTGAATTTGCATCTAATAGAAAAAAAATGCTTAAAACTAACAAAAAAGGAAAAAATTACTCTTCAAATTTTCATATCCTAAGATAAAATAACCCGGAAACTATATTTTTGGGTTATTTTTGAGAAAAGGCAATATTTTTAGTTTTTTCACGCCTGAGCAACTGTGTTTGTTGTACAATACGCAGGTGCGGTTTTGCGTGGAATATTGCTCGCACCTCGGGGATGGCTCCGGCAAATATCCAAAGCATCGATCATACTTGCTCGATGCTTTTATATTTTTAGGTTATTTTTGAGGAAAGGCAATATTTTTAGTTTTTTCACGCTTGAACAACTGTGTTTGTTGTACAATACGCAGGTGCGGTTTGGCGTGGAATATTGCTCGCACCTCGGGGATGGCTCCGCCAAATATCCAAACCATCGAGCAAGTATGATCAATGCTTTCGATAGGTTATAGGTTACAGCGAGTGCGATCCGCATCATAGACGATGAAGGTTGAAGAGGCTCGAAATTAAGTCACCTGACTAAATACCTCGAACCTCTCCAACAATAACGCCGCGACGCGACGTAGCGTCATTAAGCGCGTTCTATCGTCTATACCACGACGAGTGTTCTAAGGAGTTATTCGAATTGAAATTTTTGTTTTGGCTTTTGACCAAGAAGAGCCAACTTTTAATTAGCTGTTACTCCGTTATTATAGTTAAATAGTAGAAAAATAAATAAACAGTTCTAAATAGTTTAATTTACAGTTTTTTTTTATAAGCTACAGTCTTACATCAAATATTTATTTTTCATAAAATACTTATATACCGAGTTTATTATTCCTGAAAACAAGTTGGAAAACGTGGTTTTTCTTGTTGAAAAATTGACGTGTCGTTTACACTCTCAATTAAGTTGAAAAGAATTTCCTATCTATAAAAACTGATATACAGGGTGTCCCAAAAAGTAGTGTCAAGCGGTAGTCCCGGGATAGAACACCCCTTGGGGAATCCGAAATACCCCCATGTATGTTCCGCGATTTTTTATAGTTTGCGAGTTATGAATTTTTTAGTAAAATTTTAAGAATTAATGACCTAAACAACTTAAAAATTTTAATAAAAAAAATTGGATGTCTTTTCCGAAATATTTTTTTTGCAACTCAATTTATATGAATTGTACTTAAATGACTAATACCTTTGTCTTTGTAACTATGATGGAAGTTTAAAAAATTATGGTGCAAAGTGAAAAAATTATGGTCAGTGAATTATGTCTTAAGATTTCAACTTTAAATTTAAAATCTTAATAGGTAGTTTCATAGCTCCTAAGTAAGTTTAAAAACTGCGCCAGACTCTCAGCTTTCATAACATTTAAAAAAAGTAGTACATAAAGGGCTACTTTTGCTAAAATCGGATTTCAAAGACAGTGAGGTGGAAAAATCTTAAAATTAGCGATTTGGTATCGGAAGTTTTTTTTTGGCATTTTATCATTCCTAAAGTTAATTAGATTGTTAACTAACAAAAATGTATTGCAAGAACGCTAAGATGTTAACATATGGATTATCTTGTGGACCGATGAATCACACTTTAAAAGGTGTGGGATTTTTAACATCCACAATTATCACTCATGGAACATCGAAAATCCACACCTGACACGTGACTCAAATTTTCAAGAACAATTCAGCGTGAACTTGTGGTGAAGCATAATAAACGGACAGCTGATTGGTCCGTTCGAACTACCAGACCGATTGAATGGCGAGTCCTACTTGGAATTTTTACGACAAGATCTCAATAATTTACTCGATGATGTAGACCTTTTAACGCGGAGGAACATGATTTTTCAAAACGATGGCGCTCCATGCCATTATGCGAGCATCGTCAGACATCATTTAAATGAAAGGTTTGGAGACAAGTGGATCGGGCGAGGAGGTCCATTGCGTGGCCTCCACGGTCCCCGGACTTAAGACAACAAACACAAACACAACAACAACAAACAACAAGAATTACGAACGAAATTGCGACACGCAGAAGCAACAATAAAAAATAACAGAATAGCGTTTATTCAGCTAAAAGAAAACTGTTTTAGAAGGTGCAGAATATGTATTGAGCAGGAAGGGAGACATTTTGAAAACTTTTTGTAATAAATAATAAATAGCAGTTACTTTTTGTTTCATTTAGCTTCCCCTTTTTAAAGATTTTATTTTTGTAACTAAATTTAATTTTTATGTGTCACACAATACAGCAAGTTCAAAAAATCGTTTTTAAACTTTAAATTAAACTTAAAAATGGTAGAATCTTAGCTTTTTAGCAACCATTTTCGATTAGTTAACAATCTAATTGACTTTACGAAAGATAAAATGCCAAAAAAAAACTTCGATACCAAATCGCTAATTTTAAGATTTTTCCACCCCATTGTCTTTGAAGTCCGATTTTAGAAAAAGTAGCCCTTTAAGTACTACTTTTTTTAAATGATTATGAAAGCTGAGAGTCTGGCGCAGTTTTTAAACTTACTTAGGAGCCATGAAACTACCTATTAAGATTTTAAATTTAAAGATGAAATCTTAAGACATAATTCACTGATCATAAGTTTTTCACTTTGCACCATCATTTTTTAAACTTCCATCATAGTTGCAAAGACAAAGGTATTAGTCATTTAAGTACAATTCATGTAAATTGAGTTGCAAAAAAAATATCTCGGAAAAGACTTATCCAATTTTTTTTATTAAATTTTTAAGTTGTTTAGGTCATTAATTCTCAAAATTTTAGTAAAAAATTCATAACTCGCAAACTATAAAAAATCGCGGAACATACATGGGGGTGTTTCGGATTCCCCAAGGGGTGTTCTATCTCGGGACTACCGCTTGACACTACTTTTTGGGACACCCTGTATAATGCAAATCGTTATTTTATTATTAATAACTAAGTAGACTTTTTAGAATACCATTGCATATTTTACAACTTTAATAATACCTACTTGTTAATGTAATACTATATTGTATATCATGAAATCAGGATTTATTTATCAGCTGTCGATGCGCTTTGTCCAAGTCACTTTGTCAATAGATGATAAGATGCAACACCTGACGATATTTGTAGATTTCTGTAGGTACATTCTGTTATCTACCTACTTTTTAAATTTATATTTTATAACTTTATACGGCTAAATGTAACCAAACAAAAACAGCCCTTCAGTTATTCAACAACCATCATGGACTTGTTAGTGGTGATGTGCCGAGTCAGACTGACTCGAGTACTGATTCGAATATCTAGCAGGTACTCGTTAGTTGAATAATTCTGAATTCGGATCCACAATACTCGAACACAGGATTCGAGGACCGTTTTAATAGCAACCTTCTAGCTTCACGTGCCCAGTAGAATGTTGATTGTCCACTTCACTTTGAGAAGAATTGTGAAGTTAGTCACGCGTAGCGCTTAGGTTATTAAAAGTATGCGTTATTAATAGAATGCGGGGTTCACACAATAAATTCACGCATAC